GGGGTCATGGCCTGCAACCCAGGCATGTACCCTGACTGGGAATCGAACCTGCAACACTTTGGTTTGCTTCCCGCGCTCAATCCACTGAGCTATGCCAGCCAGGGCCAGTTTAATTCTTAATGAACTTCTCTTTTGTTATTGAGCTGTTGTTATTTATTTGTTTGTTTGTTTTCATTTTTAGAGAGGGAGAGAAATGTCAGTGATGTATAGTTGCCTCTCATGTGTCCCCCACTGGGGACCTGGCCTGCAACCCAGGCATGTGCTCTGACTGGGAATCAAACCAGTGACCCTTTGGTTCCCAGGCTGGTGCTCAATCCACTGAGCCATACCAGCCAGGGTGAGTTGTTGGTGTTCTTTATATATTCTTCATATTAATCCCTTATCAGATGTTTAGTTTGCAGATATTTTTTTCCTTCCTTAGATTGTCTTTTTTTTAAAGATTTTATTCATTTATTTTTAAAGAGAGAGGGAGGGAGGGGGAGGGAGAGAAACATCGATGTGTAAGAGATACATCGATTGGTTGCCTCTCACATGCCCCTAAATGGGGACCTGGCCTGTAACCCAGGCATGTGCCCTGACTGATAATCAAACCAGCAACCTTTTGGTTTGTAGGCCTGCACTCAATCCATTGAGCCACACCAGTCAAGGTGGTCTTTTTATTAAGGATTTCTTAATATGTTAGCTATTTTTATTTTTTACTTTAATAAATTGGCTTTTTTAATAAAAAGAAACTTAAAATCTTCCCTTTCCAATTGTTTACAATTCTTTACTATTTAATCCCTACCCCCATCCCCAAACACACACATAAGGACCGAATTTTATTTGAGAACTTTAATAGTTAGGAATATACTAAAGCAGGGGTTGTCCAACAGTGGTCCACAGGCCAGATTTGGTCTAAATCTTTTTTTATGGATGAAGTTGTATTGTAGATAAATGTAGAACACAGGCATTACATTCATTCATCTGTATTTGTGACTGCTTTTGTGCTACAGTGGCAGAGTTGAGTGACTGTGCAGAGACCGCAGAGCCTACAAAACCAAGTATTTACTATCTTGCTCTATGAAGGAAAAGTTTGCCAATCCCTAAGCTATCACCTGTGATACTGTGCTATCTCTTGCACATACTTTGTCAGACGTGCTCTAATAGAAGTGCTGTCCTTCCTCTCCTGTGGGCTTTTTTCTAGCCCTTTCTATTTTTTCAGGGGTCTTGAATGCCTCTCCTATATTTTCCCTATATTGTCTCAAATGGATCCTCTTTGATGGCTCAAATAAATAAGAATTTTGCATACTCTATCCCTACTTTTTACAGAGTTACATCACTGTTTTTAGTTTTTCTGTTGCTGAATTTGTAAACTGCTGGCATATGGGGCTTATAAAGCCTGTTGGCATATTTTCTGTGACCTATTTAGTGCCAACCTTTAAAGTTGAGAGATTTTACATTAAAATATAGATTTATGGATTGTCTTTTAAAAAAAAAATATGGCAACAACAGACCTAAGTTTCCTGATGGTCGTCACCTAGAGCTGAGTAACAGCTGGCTCTTTAAATAGGCAGTTGTGTTCCCATTTTTTGGATTTAACTCCAGGGAGATTTCTCCCCTGTTTGTGTAGCTTAGTGTTTCTCTTTAATTCTGTAGATTTATTTCAAGTGTCTGGTGATCCTTGGTTTTGCTTTCATATTTAAAAATGAGGCCCTAGAGCACTGAGCCCTGGCGTGGTAGTTCAGTTTGGTAGAGCATCATCCAGATATGCCAAGCTTGAGAGTTTGATCCCGGTCAGGCCACATACATGTACAAGAATCAGCCAATGTATGTGTAAGTAAGAACAGCAATTTGATGTTTCTCTTTTTTCTCTCTCTCCCTCCCTCTCCCTCCCTTCCTCTCCCTTCCTTCCTTACTCCCTCTCTCTAAAATAAATAAATAAAAATAAGAATGAGGCCCTAGAAAAAAGCTCTGTGTACATGTCTAGACACTGGTGACTGGAAGGCACTGAGGTTCAGCAATGGAAATTTGGCCGTTATGCTTTGTCACTCCAACTGCCAGATATCAAAGGGCTTTCCTCTGGGTCACTACCTCTTATATTAGCTGCACTGGATCTATCCAGACAGTTCAGTTTCTTTAAAAAAATAAACTTTGAGCCCTGGCTGGTGTGGCTCAGTGGATTGAGTGCCAGCCTGCAAATCAAAGGGTCGCTGGTTTGATTCCTGCTCAAGGCACATGCCTGGGTGACTGGCCAGGTCCCCAGTAGGGGATGCGTGAGAGGCAACCACACATTGATGTTTCTCTCCCTTTTGTTTCTCCCTGTTTTCCTCTCTCTCTGAAAATAAATAAATAAAATCTTTAAAAATAAATAAATAAATTGAATATGCATATGTATACTTACATTTCCAGGAAGAAATGCCTACCAGCCAGTTATTCTTAATTTGACAGTTTATAACAGATTCTCTGACCCACACTTACTCACTCTGCACTGTACTCATATGATGCCTTGTATTTCTGAGCTTGAGCTGCTCTTCGGGTATATGGTGCAGATCCCCTCCTGCTTAGGCTAAATCCTTTCCTTCTGAAGGGCTGTGTTTTCCTGTATTCGGCTACACCATTCACCTCTCTTCTGTTGGCTTCCTGTTTTCTATGGATTTATTAAATTTTTTGTTTACTGATCAACACTTCCCCTAATCTCTTTGCTGGGTAGGATTACTTTCTTTTTATCCCTTTACCATTATTTTAATGGAGTCTAGAGAGAAAGTTAAGTATACATATTCATGTGTCATTTTGAATGTCTGGTTTTTCTTTTAAAAGAGAACTCCTTAAAAAAGATATTGCTATAGCTGTTAATATTTATACAATTTATTTTAACTATGTTTTTATATTATTATAGTTTTAAAGTATATTTTATTGGTTATGCTATTATAGTTGTCCCGATTTTTTCCCCTTTGCCCCCCTCCACCCCCTCAACAGCACCCCCCCCCCCCACACACACACCTTAGTTTATGTCCATGAGTCGTGCATGTAAGTTCTTTGGTTTCTCCATTTCCTATACTATTCTTAACATCTCCATTTATTTTGTACCTACCATTTATGCTTCTTTTCCCTGTACCTTTTTCCCCATTCTCTCCCTTCCCCCTCCCTGATGCTAACCCTCCATGTGATTTCCATTTCTATAATTCTGCTCCTGTTGTAGTTGTTACCTTAGTTTGTTTTTGTTTTTTAGATTCAGTTGATAGATTTATATTTTTTGCCATTTTAATGTTTTGATCTTCTTTGTTGTTTTGGTCTTCTTTTTCTTAAATAGGTCCCTTTAATATTTCATATAATAAGGGCTTGGTGATGATGAATTCCTTTACCTTTACCTTGTCTGGGAAACATTTTATCTGCCCTTCTATTCTAAATGATAGCTTTGCTGGATAGAGTAATCTTCATTGTAGTTCCTTGCTTTTCTTCACTTTGAATACTTCTTGCTAATCCCTTCTAGCCTACGAAGTTTCTTTTGAGAAATCAGCGACAGTCTTATAGGAACTCCCCTATATATATAGTTGACTTCTTTTGCTGCTTTTAAGATTCTCTCTTTATCTTTAATCTTTGGCCTTTTAATTATGATGTGTCTTGGTGTGGTCCTCTTTGGGTCCAACTTGTTTGGGACTTGTTTGGGTGCTTATTGGACTTGTATGTCTATTTCCTTCGCCAAATTAGGGAAGTTTTCTTTCATTATTTTTTTCAAATTTTTAATTTCTTGCTCTTCCTCTTCTCCTGGCATCTCTGTGGTTTGTATGTTAGTACATTTGGAGATGTCCCAGAATCTTCTTATTCTTTCCTCATTTTTTTTTTGAATTCTTGTTTCTTCATTCTGTGCTGGTTGACTGTTTATTTCTTCCTTATGTTCCAAATTGTTGATTTGAATCCTGGCTTCCATCCTTTCACTGTTGGTTCTGTGTGGACTTTTCTTTATTTCACTTAGTGTAACTTTCATTTCTTCCCTATGTGTTCATCATACTCAGTTCTCTGAGCATCCTTATCACCAGTGTTATGAACTCTGCATCTGATAAGTTGGCTATCTCTGTTTTGCTTAGTCCTTTTTCTGCAGTTTTAATGTGTTGTTTCACTTGGGCCATATTTCTTTGTCTCCTGAATTTGGCAGCCTCCCTATGTTTATTTCTACATATTAGGTAGAGGTGCTTTGACTCCCTGTCCTGGTGTATCTGTTACATTGTAAGGGGCGGAACCTTAGGTATTCACCAGGGTGGGGCAACCCACTTTACTTCTTTGTGGTGCTGTATGTGGGGGAGGGGTCAGAGAAGGAATAATGCTGATTTTTCCCATCTTGCTCCATTTCTTATCACTTCCTCCCACTTCCCATATGCGAATGGTGCCCTTCTAGCTGCTGTCTTGGTGCCAAAACCGCGAGTGTGTGGGTTTGTGTACATTCTAGGACTGCAGGTTCTTTAAACGAACTCTCCTGAGAGACCCACAGTTTCTTTCGCCGTCCCAACTCCTACTGGTTTTTACAGCCAGAACTTATGAGGGTTTATTTCCCAGCAGTGGAACCTTGGGCTGTGAGGTCTGGCTTGCGGCTGAGATTGCTGGCTTCCTGGGTGTCCCTCCCAGTGTTTATCTGGCAGACGTGAATGTAGAACCACCTGTTCAGCTGGCCGCCACTGCTGCTGCCTCACCACTGCTGCCTAGCTGTCCCCAGGCCACATCCTCTCCGCTATGGCTCCCCATCTCTGCCCCTCATATTGTCTGAGACTGTCAGAGATGTCTTATATAGTTCTTCTTTAAATCCTTGGTTGTTGGACTTCCATACAGTTTGATTTTCTGGAAGTTCTGCTTGGTTTTGTTTTGAGGTTAGTTGTGATCATTCTTCTGGTTGTGCAAGGAGGCAAAGTGTGTCTACCTATGCTTCCATCTTGGCTGGAACTTACTAATATAGTTTTAATGGAAGACAAAGTTAGCCATAAAATTTAGTGTTGCTTCTTAAAATTATTTTCTTTCTTAATCTGAAACAGTTGATGACTATCGGCCAGTTCATCTGTTAAGTAAACCTGGGGAATTGAGAAGAGAATATGAAGAGGAAAAAAGCAAGGTAGGAACTAAGTAGTTACTGCTTTTGGGGAAAATTCTATGCTGTGTTTTCAGTTTCGAATTTTACATACAGTTATGTGCTTATATAAATTGTACATACTGAAATGTAAACAATTTTAATGTATTTTATAAAGGCTCTGTTTTTTACGTATGTTCACAGTAGTTACAAACTAGCTTTACTTAATTTATGGGTGATTGGTGCTGTGATGTGATAGATATCCCTAAGCATTTTATTTCCTGGAGGCTTTGAGCTTAAAGGACAGAAAAGTTGTGGTAGAGGGGAGGGGAGTAAAAAAAAAAAAGTTGTGGTAGATTGTGGGTCTTTTAATCCATTAAGGGTGCTGTAACAAAAATTCCATAGACTGGCAGGCTTGAACAATAAACATTTCTCATAGTTTTGGAGGTTGGGAAATCCAGGATCCAAGGTATTGGTAGATCTGGTGAGAGGGAGGCAGGAATAGGAAGCAGGGGGAGGGAAGACAGAGAGAGAGATGGAGAGGACAGGAGAGGACAGGCGAGAGAAAGAGAGGGGACAGAGAGGGGACAGAGAGGGAGAGGAGAGAGACAGTGGGGAGCCAGAGGGACAGAGAAAGGTCATCCTTCTTGTTTCTTATCATATCAGGGTCTTAATCCCATTATCCCATTCATGAGGACTTGACCCAGTTACTTCCCAAAGGCACCACCTCCAAATACTATCATATTGGAAATAAGGGCTTCAACGAGTAAATTTAGGGGGATACAACAATGAGTTTAGATGAGGACAGTATAAAATAGAGCTCATTGTAAATTGTGTAAAGAGAAAAAGAGGAAGTAGTGCTTACAGTGAAGCCTTTGAACTTCAATAGTACTAGGAGAGCCCTATTATCCCCTACCCTCTTGCTTAGTGTAGAGCGCTGTTGTCCCATAGAAAGACAATGTAAGTCTACATTCAATTTATATTTTTCTGGTAGCCACATTTTAAAAATGTTTTTTCTAAAGAATGAAATTAATGTTAATTTATATTTTATTTAACCCATTATCTTTAAAATATTTTATCAATATAAAAGTATTTTATAAAATTATAACTATAGGTTAACTATAATTATAATGTGAGTAGGCATTAATTATATGAAGTTATATAAAATTAATCATGAGATTTTTACATTATTTTTGCTGAGTCTTCAAAATCTTTTGTACTCATAGTACATACTGCTTTGGTCTAGTCACATTTCAAGTGTTCAGTAATGTAGCTAGTGGCCACTATATTGGACCATGCAAGTCTAGGAGAACCAATACCAAATAAATAATTATAATAAACTTGATTGTCAGCTTATTATCTAAGCAGTGTTCTTAAGTAAGGGTTTTAAAGGTATAGTTTAATACTTATAACAGTGAGAACAGGCTCTATTTTGACTGCAAATAAAAGTAAACCTAACTACCTTAAACAATAATTGTAATTATTTGCTACTCCAAAGGTAGGGGCTTCAGGGGTGTTTTCATCCAGACCTCTAGCTCCAGGTCTTTGATAATTTCTGTCAGGTGACTTCATCTTCAGGCTAACAGCATGATGGCCACACCATTCTAAACCTCTGTTTTCTCATGGGATTGCGTCAAGGACTTATGCTTGAGTCAAATCCTTTGGAATTCTAAAGTGATTCTTGGTTGGTTGGTTGGTTGGTTGGTTTGGGTTTGTTGGTTTGTTTTCAGGAGAACTGTAGTTTAAATGACCGTAAGTATGATCTTAGATCCTAGATCCTAGAATTAGAGTTTGAGTCTCTACTCTGCCACTTACTGTTTTAAGAAAGTTATTTGCTTTTCTTTGTTTGTTTCTTCATTTGTAAATCATGTAATAACCATTGTGGTTGTTTCTCCAGCTATCATCCCACTCCTGCCCACTGTGTTTGGGGATTCTTCCAAACTTCAGGGATAGGTTGTATTAGTTGAAGTCAGTTTTATTACATTCCCTTTGCTGGGGTTTGGTTCAGGAACCTGGCCTAAGTTAGTCAACACATGGCATTTTGTTAACTGAAGAAAAGTATTATCTGGAAACAAGTCCACAAATGTGTGACTGTAGTGGAAAGTGTGATTGAGGACTGAGGCAAGGTGGAATGAGATTTTGGTTAAGATTCCATTGGGCTGATTGGGGTAGGCTTCCTGAAAGACTTCTTGAGCTGTTCTGTAGGAAGTTGCCTCTTCAGATTTGTACTTCATTTGAGATATTTTAATTCCTGCTAACTTGTTCATTTTTAAAAAAAATTACTGCTCTTATTATGAAATATTATAAGTATATTAAGAAGTTCAGAGTAGGATTGTTCTCTGTTAATCATTTTTAAGGTGGAGGCAGAGCGACGAGCCAATGAGGAAGAAGAAAACAAAGCCAGTGAAGAATACATCCAGAAATTATTGGCAGAGGAGGAAGAAGAAGAAAAAAGACAGGCAGAACAAAGGAGAAGAGAGATGGAAGAACAGCTGAAAAGTGATGAAGAATTGGCAAGAAAGCTAAGCATTACTATTGTAAGTTTTAGGAGAGAACTTTGAAGTATCAGTATTCCTATTGCTTTGACTATGTAATTTTCAAAGGTTCAAAGAAGTGTTACCCGTAACTACTTCTGATATATTTGCTCTGCTTAAAACTTTTGCATATTTTTTCAGTTTTGCATATTGTTACATATTTGCTCTAATCCAAGTATACTTTTTAAAACTTTTTACATGTTATTAGTATATTGAAATTATGTAGGAAAACTCTTCAGTGAGAAAGCAAAGCTTCCTTTCCTGACTCCCATTCTGTTTCATTACATTAGTCCTTTTCCCCAAAGGTTAGCTCTGTTAAGAGTTTCTTCTGTTTTTATTTTTAATCACCTAAAAAAGATTTATCAATCACACTATTTTTTCCTTGGCTTTTTTCACTTGATATACCTTAGAGATTATATTTTGATATTACTACATATAGTCTATAAAGAGTAACATAATATTTCATTGTATGGATATAAATCATTTTCAGAAAGTGAAGCACAGGCTACTCTGTCTGTGGAATAGCTACTCTGTCTCACTGCTTCACTAGGAAACTCACTTTCACTTTAAACCAAGGGGGTGAGAGAGAGAGATATTAAATTCTTCATATATTAAACCTAGATTTTATTATCTTGCTATAGTTTAAAATTATATTGCTTAGGGGGAAATGAATGAAAGAAAGAATGATAAAACATACTTAATGTGACCCAGCAATTTGAAAGTACCTGGCAGAATCACCCTGGGAATTCTTAGAAAATACAGACTTCCATACCTATTCTAAATCTATTGAATGAGAGTCTCTGGGGATGGGACTTAGGGGATAACATTCCCAGAGGCATCCAGGGAAGTCTGATGTGTGTTCAGGTTTGAGAGCCTCTAAAAACAATTGTTCTTCTTTCAAACAATAAATATGTTAAAATATACTAACTACAATAAAGTATACCCAGAATTGTTTTCTTTTTCCTGAGAGGCATACTGTTCATAATAATCTGTCCAAGTTTTAGATTGTATGTCCTTTTTAATTACTTTCTTTTTTAAATTGAAGTAGAACAGCTTTATAAAGGTACACAATAGGAAATTAAATAAAAGACATTGACTAATAGAATAAAAAATGGGATAACGAAAATACAGGGGTGGGCAAAGTGGGTTTACATAATACAAACAAGTAATAAAATAATAAATAATGGAAGAATAAACTGTTTTGCACAACTGGGAACCTACTTTTGCCCACTCCGTATGTCAAAGAGGAGAATCTTGACCTGTCTTTAAAGAGACTATTGTTGTAATCCTTGTTTTCACATGGGATTATGAGAGTAGAATTATTAATATTTTAGAATAAGTTTTTGTTTACTTCTAAAAGTATGATGGTCCAAGGCCAAGTATCTACCACTACCAGTTATATTCATTTTTTCCAGTAGTGTGGTAAGAAATTTATGCCATGACCAATGTGGCTTACTTGGTTAGGCATCATCCCGCAAATGAAAGGTTACCAGTTCGATTCCCAGTCAGGGCATATGCCTGGGTTGTGGTTTGGTCCCCAGTTGGGGCATGTATGGGAGGCAATCCGTAGATGTTTCTGTCCCTTTCCTTCTCCCTCCCTTCCTCTCTCTCAAAAAATAAATAAATAAAAACCTTAAAAAAGAGAGAAAGAAATTTATGAAACTACAGCAAGTAAATATTCATAGTATTTATTAGTATGTCCTTAAGTCCCCAAATTACATTACTTTTGCAAAAATAACTTTTATTCCAGATATAGCTACAGCTCTTTGAATTTACCCTTATACATCAAGGTAGTTATATGAAACTTTTCCTTAGGAAAATTAACAGAAATTATCAGCTAATCATATTAGTATCATGCTTTTTGTGCTCTATAATGTAGAGTATAAAACGCAATTAATGTAGACTAACTTGGATGGACTTAATCTTGTTTGTTCTGATTTTTACATGGTCAATGTTATTCAAAAAGTACATAGAATTTAAATGTAAGCATAATTCCTGAAAAATACTGTCATGGATTCTGAGTTAATTAGTTGAATTAATAGCTTATTTTATTATAAAATTATTTTTAATAATGTCTGTTATGCTTTTTCTTGTTAAAGAACCATTTCTGTGATGGAAAAGTCTTGGCTTCTCCCATGAATTCTAGAAAATCGGATCCAGTCACAAGCAAGTTGCAAAAGAAAAATAAAAACAAACAAACAAGTACTGGAGATATTGAGAAGTAAGTGAACATGACTTGATCGATTATTTATTGACCATCTACTGTATGCCAGTATTTTTTTGTTCCTATAGTCCACTGACTATCAAACTTTAGTTCATGCACTCTGCATGAAAACCCTCTAAATGGTCTGAGACTGATGTAAAATAAAACTAAGAGAGCTACTCATATAGCTTAGATTCCTGGCTAGCATGAAGAGAGATGTGAAGGGTTTTTTTGTTTGTTTTTGTGTTTTAATCTTCATTGTTCAGGGTTTCCATGATGTTCACATTTTCTCAAAATTAACCAGTTGGATTTGTCCCCTTGGTTTAGTTAGATTTAAGTGAGAAAAGCTGGCCCCATATAAGGTCATCCTCATTAAAGGAGTTTATAATTTGGCATCTGGGCCATTCACTCACCTTCTTTTTCCCAGTTTATGCATTACATTTCTTCTCTACTATACAAAAAGCATGAGTCAGGTAGTCAACAGTAGAGTGATGATTTAGCTCCCCACAATGCCCCTCCAGCAGCAGGTAGAACTGATGACTTTATGAGGATATTAGCTTTCCCATTGTAATTCATAGTTGGGAAAGTTCGAAAACCACAATCAAGACTTCAAAAACATATAAGGGCTTTTGGTTCAACTGAGTAAATATGTACAGGTAATTTGCCTTCTTCAAGAATTCATACAAATTTTGGATTTATGGTAGTGGAGATTTGAGATAGGGACACTTAGGGTGGGGGCAGAGTTAAATGAAGGGGTTGCTATTAAAATAAAAAATAGATATGACAATATCAGTATTTTTAGTGCTAATATTATGTAAAGTAGAAATCAAGAGAAAAACCATTAAAAGGGGGAAAGCAGAAAGAGTGCATAATTATTTTGGGTTAGCCAAAAAGTCTTTTAGTTTATTCCGTAAAATAAAAGGAACATTTTTCATTTTGACCAATAACTATTGATTTGGATATTTTGAGTATGTTGGCTATCTCCCACTATTGGCTTTTAGCAGATAGAGGCCAAGGGTGCTGCTAAACATCTTCGAATGCATAACACAGCCCCAGAACAGAGATTTATTTGGTCAAAATGTCAATAGTACCAAGAAACATTGCAAATCATTTTTGACACACATTCGATCAGTCACAGCACCTTCTCCATACACCATACAAATCTTTTTTTGTGTTTCAATTGTGTTTTTACCTTTCTTGAAAAAATAAAACATAATATGCTGAAAATGTTGCAGATCTTCTTCCATCTTTAATATTGAAATGGATGCACACAAATTCACCAATTTTGATGTTTTTAAAGAAGTGTTTTTTTTAAAGATTTTATTTATATATTTTTAGAGAAAAGGGAAGGAAGGGAGAAAGACGAAGAGAAGCATTAATGTGGGCAAGGTACATGCATTGGTTGCCTCTTGCATGTCCCCAACTGGGGACCTTGCCTGCACCTCAGGCATATGCCCTGACTGGAAATCCAACTGGCAATCTTGAGGTTCACAGCCTGGTGCTCAGTCCACTGAGCCACACCAGCCAGGACAGGATAAGTTTTTTTAAATGCATACTGATAGGACAACTGTCACAATACAATTTAACAATTGTTTTAATGAAGTTAAAGACAACTAAGCACTACTACAGCTACCATACCGAAAAAACTAAACAAACTTTTTTGGCCAACCCAATATACTACTCTGCTTAAAGCATATAACTTATGAGACTTCATGCACTTAAATATATATATTTTGAAATATACAAAAAGAAAAAATTATTAGAAATACAGTGGACCTAATAAACTGACAAATTTTATAAACTGGTGAAGTCAAAAGCAAAAATTGGGAAACTAGTGAGTTAAAGTTTAAACAAAGTTAGATAAGATCTAGTCTTTAGACTATATGAAGAATTCTTATATAACTCAACAACAAGACAAATAATGGACAAAGGACTTGAATAGACATTTCTCCAAAGATGTACAAATGGCCAATGAGTACATAAAAAGATACTCAACATCATTAGTCATTAGGGAAATGTAAAAAACCACAGTGAGATACCATTTCACACCCACTAGGATGTCCATAATCAAAAAAAGGGCAGGGGGATAACAAATGTTGGCAAAGATGTAGAAAAATTGGAATCTTGTTCATTACTGGTGTGAATGTTGCAATCATTGAGGAAAACAGTTTTGACAGCTCATTAGAACGTTTAGTACAATCACTTTATCACTCCATTCCTAGATACTTACCCAAAAGAACTGGAAACAGGTATTTTAACAAATACTTGTACACAAATAGCACTTCAAATAGCGAAAAGTGGAAACAGCCCAAATGTTCATTGAGGGATGGATAGGTAAACAAAATGCATATCCCTGCAATGGAATATTATTCAGCTCTAAAACAGAATGACATACTGATACATGCTGTCTTGTGGGTGAACTTCAGAAACACACTAAGGGAAAAGCCAGGCACACAGGGTTCCATATTTCTTTTATATGAAATAACTAGGATAGATCAATCTGTAGAGACAGAAAGCAGATTAGTAGTTGCCAGTAACTGGGGAGATGTGGGAATGGGGAGTAGCTGCTTAATATATACAGGGTCTCTCCTTTGGGGATGGTGAAAAGGTTCGGAACTCAATAGATCATTATGATGGTTGCACAGCTTAAAGAATGTACTAAATGCCACTCAATGCACTTTTTTTTTAAAAATTTTTTTAAAAATTATTTATTTATTTTAGACAGAGAGGAAGGGAGAAGGGAAGAGGAGGAAAGAAACATAAATGTGTGGTTGCCTGTAGCACATCCCTTATTGGGAACCTGGCCCACAACCCAGGCATGTGCCCTGACTGGGAATCGAACCGGTGACCCCTGGATTTGCGGCTGGCCCTCAGTCGACTGAGCCACGCCAGCCAGGGCTGAATGCATTTTAAAATGGTAATTGTATGTTAGGAATTTTACCTCAAATTTGAAATGATTAATAAAAATATTACTAAAGTGTTTGAAAATTAAGAAAAATACTAAGTAACTCATTGGTTAAACAATCTTTTTTATATTTATTTTTATCCTTACCCGAGGACATGCTTATTGATCTTAGCGAGAAGGGAAAAGTGGGGGAGAGAGAGAAGAGGAAAGATAAACATTGATCAGTTGTCTCTGGCATGAAACCCAACTGGGCACCGAACCCGCAACCTAGGTATGTGCCCTGACCAGAAATCGAACTCATGACCTTTCGGTCTACAGGGTAACGCTCCAACCAACTGAGCCACACCAGCCGGGGCTAAAGAGTCTTTTAAAAAAATTTATACTAAAAACAAAAAACAGTTTACCTGTTTCTCTACCACATCCCCCACCCTGTCCCCTGCCTCTGACAACTGCCAGTCTGCTCTCTGTGTCTGTGACTTTGAGCTGGGTTTCTTTCCCCCTGACATATAAGAGAGATCATACAGTGTTTTGTTTCTTTTTCTCTCTGTGACTTACTTCACTTGGCATAATACCCTCAAAGTCCATCCATGTTGTTGCAAATGGCACGATTTCATTTTTTTTAATGGCTTCATATTTATAATGAGTAAACATATGATATTTGCATAGGAGTAGAAAAACAAAATAATTGAGGCAATATAATAGAAAGCTTAGAAACACACTACAGTTTATGGAGCCTTTAGGGTAGCTTTGGTGTTTTTAAAATATGTCCACAAATTTTTTTATCTTCCTTGAATGTGGCTAGACTTAAGTATACAAACGGAATTATCAGAAGGGACATTGTACACTTCAGAGACTAAGTTCTAAAAGACACTGTGACTTTAACTTGATGAAAATTAAAATTATAGTAAGGTAATTTTTCATTATATACAAATACTGAATCGTGTTGCACACCAGAAACAAATTACAATGTTGTATGTCAATTATACCTCAATAAAAATAGCCATAACATTATAGTGAACTAGTAACATTCCATACCCTATGGGAAAAATTAAACTTTCTAGCAATATTAAGTGTTGTAGAGGATAAGGAACAGTTACACACTTGGGGGGGAGTGTAAAAGGTTAATATTCTGTAAGTCTGGAGTATAGACACTCAAAAAACCCCAGGAGACAAGTATTGGCATGTTCCCAATAGTGCTATTCATAGCAGTAAAGAGCCAGAAGCACCTGTATTTCAACAGCAGAACAGAATATTATCCAGCAGTAAAAATGAATTCTAGTGAAAGAAAACATGCATGATTTAGGAAAGTGGCTTCAAATTTATAGTGAGTAAACAGTTTGTGGAAGAATACATGTAGTATGATTTCATATACATGATAGTAAAGAACATACATGTAGCATAACTCCATATGCATTATAGTGAAGAAAACAATTCATGGGAAGATAACACACAGTATGACTCCATATATATAAGATTCAAAATTATGCAGTACTAAGCAGTAAGGTGTTTAGAGATTCAAGTGTGTATGATAAAAGTGTTTTTAAAAGCAAGAGATAAATAATTCAAGGATAGTTATCTCGGACATGGGGGGCAAAAAGGAGACCCCATAGAGATTTTAAAGTCAGTGATTTTTTTCCTATTAAACCAGGTGGCGAGTATAAGGATTTTCATGATAATATAAATTTAAAACTGTTTTTTACAGTATAGAATGCATCTATTAAAGTTCACTAATCTTGAATGTACATTCTGATAAATTTTTACATTTGCATAAACCATCCTTCAGATTTAAGATATAGAATATTTCCAGAAGTTTCACTCATGCCCTTTCCCAATCAATAGTCCCCTGCCTGTAACCCTGATACACAAGGGTGGGCAAAAGTAGGGTTACAGTTGTGACATTCTTTTGAGTTAATAAAGCTATTGTAATAATCATAACCTGCATGTAGGTCTTCTTCCATATGAACAACTGTAAAATTACTTTTGCCTACCCCTATATTGTAATTTTTACATATATTGTTTAATTGTTCTCTCAAACTATTTGTTCTCATGAAGTAGACAGAAATATACACTTAGAAAGATTTGTAAGACAGAAGTCAAAAAAGAAATCATAGAG